GTGCATTTGTTTCATGATCTGCTTAACAATAGCGGAATGATGGCCATTTTAAGGCCGAAAATGCAGCAAAATCACGTATTTTCACAATTCCAGAACCGGATCTCAGTCATGCATGGATGGATTTTGTTCAGATTTAGCACAATGTGTTGTACATATGCAACTGCATTTCGGTCATGATCTGCTTTGAATGTATATGTCACTCAAATATGAACGGAACGGGGACGTGTCATTGACAATGACTTGTTTGTATTATATTAGGTACAACTTGGATAAGGTTTCTTCTTATAACCAACATTTTTTTGGATTTACAACATTGACTTGTCCTCAATATAGTGACTTGTGTAAAGCACTGTGTCATCTGAATATGGGTATATCGATCACATTTATGTAAGCAGCAGTGAGCATGTATATAGTGTCTGTATTCCCAAATTTAAACTCTGCGATTAAACTTCACAAAGTGTCCATAGGCGTAATAAATGCTTGGTTTTCAAACAAAGAATATTCGGCCGCTTCACAATAAGTTATCTATACGTTTCAAGTCGGCATTGAGATTAATTGTCATTGTTCTGTGTTGTATGCTTATTATGAAAGAAAATTGTGAAATAGTTAGTCTCCACGTCTTATGTTATTTGGATTTAAGGGGCTCCTTATTTTATTCCACTGTTCGCAATCGGTGTTCAAGTTAAAATATACCCTCTTTAAATAGTATTTACATATCCAAAATTATTAAATAATTATCTGGAGGCAAATAAGTCAAAAACATTCGTCAGATTTGTGAAATTATGGGATCTGATATGCAGTTGTGATAACAAACGTAACAATAAATGTAAAAAAGAAATTCATGTGATATTATAGAAAATTTGCAGAATAAAAATGAGCCAAATTGGTCATGTAGTGTTTCGTGATTATTGTAATATGGCGACTCGAAAGACAAATTTATAATTTTTATATATTCCATCAAAAAATCATAGATTTTATTGCAATGATATATGCAACTAGATAATTTATTCTGCTTTACTGCAATTTACAAATAAATTCTCTGCAACTTTACATCAATATTCTACTCTAGTCTACTGTCATGAATTTGTTTTCGCGTATCTGTTTATCGACTTAATTAGTTGATTATTAGCAAATTGCTGTGTTATGTCTGTCATCGTTTAGGCTTATTTGAAGTTTTGGACGGAACTTGGCTCAGTGATTTGGAACTAATTACGAGATAACCGTCGCTATTCAGACTACTAATTCTGACAGTTGGTATTCATAGTTATTAATGTAGTGAACGATTAATCAAAATATATGACGTATTCAGTGCTTAGTGTGATTGGCTTTATGGTTGAAGGTTACGCCTTGTAGTCTTTTAACTGTATTGTAATTGGTTAGTGTTTTGAAAATGAATAAAGTTGTTTTAGTTGGTCTTGGCAAGTACTCCACGAGAGACGCAGTGCAGTCCTGGAGAGCCTTGGGACGAGTGTTGGCGCAGTCTAAGAGAGTCTTGGGTCAGCCTTGCGATAGTCTTGGGGATTTTTTCCCCCAGGACTCTGTGTCTTATAGAGTGCTACAAAGACCGACTAAGACGAGAGTTGAAACGTATTTCGCTGTGTGTATCTTATTTGACTGTAAGGCGTAAAGTGACTTTCCCGATCCCATACCTCCAGGGGACGCGATATAGAGACGAGACGAGTTTCCCCCCTGGCAAAAGTGGAGAAACCCCGTGAAGAAGATTTACCCCCGTGATACTACTATAAATTTTCCAGCTTATTCGTCCGGACTTGTACTTTACATATGCAGATTTTTTGAGCGATATTGTCTTCGTTCAACCAAACTTTGAATCAAGAGTTTTGTAGAAACTAGACGCTTTAAGTTTCGCAAGTTTGTTTTCCCAGATACAGAAACCATTTGATTATAATCCACAATGATACATTTTGAGTGCCACATATGGAGCAGAAGTACCCAATGGACACACCTTTCATCACATCATCAGTACGTGCGTACCATGTATCTTTCTGTCACTAAAGTTTGCTCGTGTACATATGACTTATTTTGTTCTGTTGAATTTTGTTGATTGCTCACAATAATTTATTTTCGCGTTATATGACTTGTAAATGTTCTTATACAACTATTTTGTTAACAATTTTATAAAATCGTGAACTGGTGGCATTTGTGTTGCAGTTTTGGAATGACATGGTGCAAATTGTTTACGTCAAAACGAATACTGTATATTTGCTACAGTTAATCTAGCATCACACATCACCACGCAAAACTATGTTGTTCCACCCCTTCTGATCGGTTTCTCACTAATAAACGATAATGCCGTACATACTATCCAATCATCAGACTCACGGTATGTACTTTGAAAGTCTGCCACCAGTCAGAGGAGACCTGAACGTACTGATCCCGTTTGCTATTACTTTGCTGGAGTACAAGGCAATTATTGGGCGTGCATTTTGAAAGTGGATCAGTGGATTTGTGTGATATGGCTGTGCTTACTACCAGCTTTATGGTTGGATCGTTAGCCGGGAAGACTGATAGCAAGTGTTGACACTAGATGTAGCAATCGTATTCGAAACTCAAACGTCTACCTTACACATCTTTGTATTGAACTAATCTTGTTGAGCAATAGGTGCAATAGAACTTATATACTAATTTCCCGAAATGTTTAATGCATTATTCACGTGTTCTATAGTCATTAAATATAATACTGCAATCAATACTGCTGATATTCAAATTGACATATCAGAATTCATGTGTATTTCACATATAACCATCACCATAAAAAGTTGAAAATTATAGATTTCTAACACTGATAAACTGTTACCACGCTCATCCTTTCGTCAGTTGATTCCTAGGCAAATCTATAACATAGATAAATAAACACATAGCTTTATAACATTGCGGAATACTGACATGAAAATTGCAATTGTAATATCGGGAAATGCATCTCCAGAATTATATATGTTCATTGGTTCTAAAAAATAGTTTTTCAACTTTTGCTGCCACCAATTTCAATTGGTCCATATAAACACACAAAGTTCCAGACCACTAGCTTCAACCATTTTATTTCAAACGAAATAGAGTACAGAAGAAAAATAACATACAATAAAAGCGACCTAGTATTTCAGGCTTTAGCCCAAAAATAATATTCGTAGAACGTGAGGTTACAAAAAACACTACTGATGAAAAAATACAATTTACTTTTTGTCAGTTAATTTCCAGCTTTCGCC